TGCTGCTGCTGCTGCTGCTGTTGTTGTTGTTGTTGCTGCTTCTGGCGCTGTTGTTGTTGTTGTTGTTGTTGTTGTTGTTGTTGTTGTTGTTGTCGCTGTTGGGGTCGTTGGTGCTGGTTAGTTTGCTGGCGGTGCTCCTGTGGGAGAGGTGGCTGCGCAGTGACCGATGGCTTGGAGGAGGGCCGAAGTGCTCCGTTGTCACTGGAGCTATTGAGCACTGATGCCCATACGCGCTGCTGGGTCGTGGATCTGCAAGTGCTACAACTTGTAGTCGTATCCATGTGGTTGGCTTGCTGCATTTGCAGCCCATGTGCACCCGGCTTGGATACGGTATCGCCCGCCTTTTTGAATGGGGTCGGTGCAGTGTGTTGTACATGCTCTACTGACTTGAGGCGCCCTTGGTTGGCTTGCTGCATTTGCAGCCCACGTGCACCCAGCTTGGATACGGTATCGCCAGCCTTTTTGAGTGGGGTCGGTTCAGTGTACATGTGTTGCATATTATGCTCTACTGACTTGAGGCGCGCTTCCTGTTCCTTACACTTGTCCTCCAGCGCAGATATACGGGAATCTGATTGCACCGTACTAATAGGCGTATGCGTGTGTGCAAGGTCAGCTTGCTCTTTTCTAATCATGGAGAGTTCCCCTTGCATGTTGACGATTGCCGAGGAGATCCCTGAAAAAACTTCCTGAAGGGCGGCCAATTCAGCCTTGACTGTCCCAACTATTTCGGTCTTGATGCTTTCGATCAGGCCATTGACATCTAATATGGAGTCTTCGGGAGGCGAGATAACCTCTAAGTCACTTACCGGCGACTTGCTGCCTGCATCTCGACCGCATTCCGTAGGGTGTGTGGTTCTGCCCGCAGAACACACGTTCGCCTCTCCAGTAGAGTCACCAGCAGACCAAGAGTCTGTGTCGTTCTCCTCAACGTAGAGATCAAAGCATGGCTTCCCAAAGGCCTGCTTTGGGGTTACCGATCCTTGCTTGTAGCTATCGTTTGGATATGAATAGTCGATCAACGGCATGTTCACAGCTCAAAAAAAATGCAACCGCACTCTACGATGTACTCCAGACCAGGAGCTGTCTGCATCTGCTTTGTTTCAATGTCCAGCATAAGCGAACGTGTGGATCAAGCACATGCCACCTACTGCTCTTTTCTCTCCGAAACTCAACACTTGCAAGCCAGATATGAAAGAAAGGCCGAGGGCCCTCTTGATTGGTGTGAGTTGCCAGCATGATGCAAGCCAGATATGAATCGATCGAAGAAGGATAGATTTACCATCACTGTGGATAAGAGTCATACTGTAGCTCAGTTGGTTAGAGCATTGCTCGCGAATAGCAAGGTCCCTGGTTCGAGTCCCGGTGGTGTGACTGATGATTTTTTCTTTCTTTCATATCTGGCTTGCAAGTGTTGAGTTTCGGAGAGAAAAGAGCAGTAGGTGGCATGTGGCCTCTAGTTTCCTTAAAATAATAATAATAATAATTTGAAACTCGAGTATTGAGCCAATAATAAAAGTAGAAAGGAAAAGGACATATGGATTATGGAAACGAGTTAAGAGTAACTCTCCACCACTGTAACTAGATACTATATACAGTCAGAAAGTGCAACAACTAGGCACAAAACTGACAGAGTACTGGGACATTCGACGTCCTGACACCTAGCTTCAACACATCTCCGTAGCGCTAGCACTTTCTGACTGTTAAAAGTATCTAGTTACAGTGGTGGAGAGTTACTCCTAACTCGTTTCCATATGTCCTTTTCCTTTCTACTAATAATAAGAATAATAATAATAACCGCAATCAGTAATACAAGCTGGATCGACATTTGTGTACACTTTATTCATGCAATGTAAAACTGTGGAGACAACGTGCAATAAAAGGATGAAAATGTGAAGAAATGGTGTAGAGACAATGAGGATTCAAACAAGTTTTCGTACAACACTCATCAGGAATCTTCGTTGTACTAAAGGACATTGAAAACAAAATTGAACTATTATAGAAAATCTAAATTAGAGAAATAACACTAAGAACAACAGCAGTGAAATTTACAAGTGTGAGTTTTATCAATGAAAGCGAGAGCAATAACGAATGCGTGTACTAACACTAAACTTGCAACTGAAAAATGAACAAAGAAGAGAAGGGGACAAAATGATAACAAATAACAGCAGTACATTACATCTAGAAAATTAACGGCCAAGCTTGGCCGCACAAAACATGGCACTTTGCTTGAACAATTTCAACCCAATTATACTATCCTTCTGTACACACAAATTAGGCTTATACAGACGCTGACAGATGGCTTCCGAAACCTTTAACTGTAGTCCATAACCATGACGGCCACGGCACAATACAGTGAAAGAAGAGTCGGAATACGAATTGCAACAATCAGGACTAGCCAACAGATGATTGTACACTGAAGACTTGCTACCACGAAACCTACGCACAACACTAACATGTCACCGGCACTCTCACGATCACTACAATCGTCGCTCTCCGACTCATTGCTCCCCTCACCGTCCGTCCCATCATCCGCTTCCTCTCCGCTCTCTGTGTTATCCCGCCTGACTTGGTCCATTGAACGGGACTCGGCCGTCACCCTGCTGTCACGTCCCTCCTTGGGCCCTTGTCCGTTGAGTGCGTAGCTTCTGTTGTAGTTGGCTGTTGATCGTCTTGGTCTTTCAATAGTGGGCTTGGTTGGTGGATTAGTTGTGGTTGCTGTATATTGCATTGTTGGTGATGATGTGGGAGCTGCTGATACGCAGGGTGGGTCTTTTTGAGTTGGCAATTGTAGTGTTATTGCCATTGTCGATGTTGCTCGCGGTCTGTCACTGGCAAGCTCCACCGGCCGTTAATTTTCTAGGTGTAATGTACTGCTGTTAATCATTTTGTCCCCTTCTCTTCGTTGTTCATTCTTCAGTTGCAAGTTTTGTGTTAGTACACACATTCGTTATTGCTCTAGCTTTCATTGATAAAATTCACACTTGTAAATTTCACTGCTGTTGTTCTTACTGTTATTTCTCTAACTTGGATTTTCTATAATAGCTCAATTTTGTTTTCATTGTCCTTTAGTACAACGAAGATTCCTCATGAGTGTTGTACGAATTCTAGTTTGAATCCTCATTTTCTCTACAAAATTTTCTCACATTTTCATCGTTTTATTGCACATTGTCTCCACAGTTTACATTACATGAATAAAGCGTACACCAATGTCGATCCAGCTTGTATTACTGATTGCGGTTATCAAATTGTTGTCTCCTCGCCGTTTGTTCAAATAATAATAATAATAATAACATGGTGATGCTGGTCATGCTACGGGTAAAAAGTGTATTATGTCCCATGGAGTGTAGATCGGACTGGTACGTTACCAATGCGGTGCTCATTGCCTGTGCAAAACATTTTTCAATTAATCAAGATTCCTATCAACCACCACACCACACCGCTGCGCTCTCCGGTCGACCTCAACACGTTGCCACAGCACACCGTCAGCAAAACGACACTTCAGTTGGTACTCTGCTCCTTCAGACAGCAGCTATTTCGATCATCAGGATCTCGTCAGTGAAAGTTGATAATGTAGAATGGCTAACATGTACATGTAGTGAACTTTACCCTTTTGTAGCAAAAACATAATGGCGCATTTTAGGCGCAAAGAGGGGGAAACATAATGGCACATCATAGGCGCGAAGATTAGGGCTAAGTAAAGGCGATACTGATAGACTACACTGAGGACACTAGTAATACAGAGGATATTAGTGGGAGTACAGTCATGTTTTTGCTACAAAAGGGTGAAGTTCATTTTCTGTTAGCCATTCTACATTATCAACCTTCACTGACGAGATCCTGATGATCGAAACAGCTGCTGTCTGAAGGAGCAGAGTACCGACTGAAGTGTCGTTTTGCTGATAGTGTGCTGTGGCAAGGAGTTGAGGTCGGCCGGAGAGCGCAGCGGTGTGGTGTGGTGGTTGATAAGAATCTGGACAAGGCCGAATGCTGCTGCTTACCCCTCTTGATAATCAAGATTCTCATAAATCTTTACAAATCCCTCCAAACGGTCTCCGGTCTACAACAATCGCTAAAACAAAACGAGATAAAACTTTGGAATTTCCGGGCGAGGCCCATGTTCAGCATGTAAAGATATACATGTATGGGTATAGTGGAATGACTACAGTGGAGTCCTCGCACTTTGAGAAAATTAAGATTCGTAGGAAAAAATACTAGGGTACTTTACGCAAAGTTCCATTGAAAAAGGGCATACACTAAGAAAAGGCTCCACGATCGCTTGCGGTATCGGCACAGAAGCACAGGAGCCAGGTATGAGCCAATCCGATCGTGTCAACATGATACCAATACCAGGCTCCGAAAAGTTCCTCCATCAGTGGCATGCAAGAAACACTCAAGGAATTCGCAGCGCTACAAAATATTGGACCTGATACAGCCGCTTTTAGAGCGCTGATTGCATCACAAGCTACGCTGGTAAATTAGACAGAACCTAGGTGATAGTAGGACGTCTTTTTTGGCGTTCAAAGGTGGAGAGCATTATCGCTTTCGTTTTCAAGTTTCTTCAGAAAAGTACTTTTGGAAAACTCCACAACACTACACGAGTCATAGCCAACAGTCCACAAAGGTAGCGAAATATTATATAGTCAGATACTAAGTAGTGGGACAACATTTATTCCCCTCATTGGAACTTTCCGCACCTGAGCCTTCCAATTTGGAAGGTTGTTGGTTTGCGCTTCGTAGATATGTTGGAGCTAGGCGTTCGGTCGTTGAATGTCTCAATATCTCTGTCACGTTTGTGCCTTGTCGCACTATCTGACCCTATAATAACTAGTTGCCTTGACTGACTGTTAGTCATAACTTTTAACTTATTGGTCCCTTCTTCTTACAAGTACTTTTTAATAGTATTAAACTACTGTTTTGTCGCTTTAGACAAGGAGGAATGGCCGATTTTAGGAGCAGTCGAGGGGCGCCGCCAAATGCCATTTCTCTTTCTTGCCACTCAGGTCACTGCACACCAACACACTACTGAGAATACCAGCAGGACTTCTGGACGGTGTCCCGCTTCTGGAGTTTCTGTAAGACACATGTTTCAATGATCACTTAGGTACATGTACATATACCCTGTACTGAAATCGTAGGATTTAGATTGGATTGGACCGATGTAAGCGCATGGCCGTGGTGGGAAAGCTATGTGAGTATCCAAACACCGCACGAAAGAAAGCGCCTATAGCGCGAGGCTTGAATGGTACGACGCAGGGAATTCAAGAATCAGCATTTGCTTGTTCTACGGGTGTAGATCATGAGTGTATAATAATACGAGTGTATATACCGGTAGTACATCTTTTCATGTAGTGAAACTTCTTCCATAATGTAAATTTTTCTCGCAATTCTTGTCTTCTATTATTATTCGCTTCAGTGCATTAGATTTGACGGCACTGTACTCCATTGATGGTGCGTTCCTGTCGAAAGTTCCAGAGCTTAGAAGATTGTAAGTCATATGAGGATTTGTTACTTACGCCTTAGGGCGTGTTCAGACGGGCGCGAAAAGTTCCACGCTCCCACACATTTCCTTGGTTTCACGGCTCTCGTGACGTTCCCGTAAAAAACACAGCACCGGTACAGTATAAGATATTATACTGTACCGGTGCTGGGTTATTTTTTGCTGTACTTGGTCAATGTAGAGCCTATTCTATTGCGTTGACCGTTAGGTAGTATCAGCTTTGCCACGCATGGTGCCCCACTTCTTTTTTTCGTTAGAGATAAATGCCGGCGATGGGCAGCCGCGAAGAATCCTCGTGGAGGTATCTGGAATTGCACCATCAAAGTTCAAAGATCACTACTCCTGCAGCATTGGTTGGATAAGCAGGAAACATTAAGTTTGCAATTCGTCTTTTTCCCGCTATGGTTTCCATCAAAATCCTTTCATGCCTACGCATTACATTGAATGTGACGATACTGCACCAAGGATAGTTTCGTTGTTGTGGTTGTTGTTGCTGCTGGTGCTGGTGCTGCTGCTGCTGTTGTTGTTGTTGTTGTTGTTGTTGTTGTTGTTGTTGTTGTTGTTGCTGTTGTTGTTGTTGTTGTTGTTGTTGTTGTTGTTGTTGTTGTTGTTGTTGTTGTTGTTGTTGCTGTTGTTGTTGTTGTTGTTGTTGTTGTTGTTGTTGTTGTTGTTGTTCTTGTTCTTGTTGTTTTTTTAGTGCTGTTATTATTCTTTATTCTCACGATGGAGACTCGTACCAATAAGAGATGAGATGACAAGGGAGAGGCACAAATAAGATATGCGAAAACTGTAATGAGTCTACTAATGGCTAAGTGAGACAAACGTTAGAGCCTAGTTGCTGCATGTTGAGAGCAGCTGCAGATAGAATTTACCAGAAGATTGGCCGCGGATTCTTTAATGATCCCAACTTAGAGAATTGCACATAAAGTGGCTCACAATTGGTTGTAATGGTTGAGGTCTATGTTTAATAGGGCGCCTTTGTGCCGGTTTGTCCGGGTTTTTGGCATATGACAAGAGCAAGGGTGCCTGAGGGGCTAGGTTACGAGTGCAACAGCGGTAAATACAAGGTTGCTGATGTGTGAGGGTGCATGCTTCTGGTGGAGATTGTGAGCATGAATTACATGCTTGAGAATGCGGCGGCTGCAAAGTGTGGGGAGGTTGATGCTTTGCAGGAGAGCAGAATGATCAACTGGGCAGAAAAGGGGAATGCGCAAGCAAAGGCGGCAGAACGGCGTTGTAATCGTTCCAGCTCCATACTCTAGGATTGGGCGGATGTATTTGCGTTGAGAGAGCATAGGGCCTGAAAGTGGACTGACGAACGTAGCCCTCGAAGCAGATGTAGGGCTTTGCTGACTCTCACAAGCACAGTCTCGAAGTTGGAGTTCCACCTCAGGTTTGCCTGCACAACAATGCCGAGAGGCCGCTGACTGCAACCTACCTTCAGGGTTTGATTGTACGGGATAATGTGCGGGATAATGTACGGGATAATGTATGGGACACTGGAGGATTGGAAGGGTGATGGGCGATTGGAATTGTGAAAGGTCATCGCCACGGTATATCAGTGTTCACTATTAAACAGGTGCCATGTGGTTAGCCATTCCCCGCAACAGTTACCGAGAACTGAAGTTGGGTGAGCGCAGATTGGTATGACTTGTAGAAGGCGACAAAAGCACTATCGTCTGCAAACTGGCTGCTTGTGGTGGAGTCATTTTCACAGGATACTGGCAGGTCAAAGGTATACAAGTAGGCGTGAAACAGTAGAGGCCCCAGCACTGAGCCTTGGCTGACTCCAGTAGTAGTAGTAGTAGTAGTAGTAGTAGTAGTAGTAGTAGTAGTAGTAGTAGTAGTAGTAGTAGTAGTAGTAGTAGTAGTAGTAGTAGTAGTAGTAGTAGTAGTAGTAGTAGTAGTAGTAGTAGTAGTAGTAGTAGTAGTAGTAGTAGTAGTAGTAGTAGTAGTAGTAGTAGTAGTAGTAGTAGTAGTAGTAGTAGTAGTAGTAGTAGTAGTAGTAGTAGTAGTAGTAGTAGTAGTAGTAGTAGTAGTAGTAGTAGTAGTAGTAGTAGTAGTAGTAGTAGTAGTAGTAGTAGTAGTAGTAGTAGTAGTAGTAGTAGTAGTAGTAGTAGTAGTAGTAGTAGTAGTAGTAGTAGTAGTAGTAGTAGTAGTAGTAGTAGTAGTAGTAGTAGTAGTAGTAGTAGTAGTAGTAGTAGTAGTAGTAGTAGTAGTAGTAGTAGTAGTAGTAGTAGTAGTAGTAGTAGTAGTAGTAGTAGTAGTAGTAGTAGTAGTAGTAGTAGTAGTAGTAGTAGTAGTAGTAGTAGTAGTAGTAGTAGTAGTAGTAGTAGTAGTAGTAGTAGTAGTAGTAGTAGTAGTAGTAGTAGTAGTAGTAGTAGTAGTAGTAGTAGTAGTAGTAGTAGTAGTAGTAGTAGTAGTAGTAGTAGTAGTAGTAGTAGTAGTAGTAGTAGTAGTAGTAGTAGTAGTAGTAGTAGTAGTAGTAGTAGTAGTAGTAGTAGTAGTAGTAGTAGTAGTAGTAGTAGTGCCCACCTGGCTGTTTAGCATGCCTGACCTAACTGTTTCATGATATTGTCTGTATTTTTGTTGTAGCAATTTTGCTGGTTTTCTCTTGTCTGGGTTGTTGGATGAGTTGGGTAAACGGTGCTGCTTTGATTGTGTTTGCGGATGCAAGTTTACTCTTTGTTTTGGTATTCGATAGTTGACTTGATTCTTTTATTATATTTTCTTATTGGATTTTCCGATTTATTTGATTTGATTTTCCTATCTACGATATACTGGATTGGATTTGTCACCATTGCCTTCTTTGCTTCCGTTTTTTGAATTCTTCATTCCGGCACCCAGTTTGTTATCAAATAAAGTCAACGTTCTCAGTAGTAGTAGTAGTAGTAGTAGTAGTAGTAGTAGTAGTAGTAGTAGTAGTAGTAGTAGTAGTAGTAGTAGTAGTAGTAGTAGTAGTAGTAGTAGTAGTAGTAGTAGTAGTAGTAGTAGTAGTAGTAGTAGTAGTAGTAGTAGTAGTAGTAGTAGTAGTAGTAGTAGTAGTAGTAGTAGTAGTAGTAGTAGTAGTAGTAGTAGTAGTAGTAGTAGTAGTAGTAGTAGTAGTAGTAGTAGTAGTAGTAGTAGTAGTAGTAGTAGTAGTAGTAGTAGTAGTAGTAGTAGTAGTAGTAGTAGTAGTAGTAGTAGTAGTAGTAGTAGTAGTAGTAGTAGTAGTAGTAGTAGTAGTAGTAGTAGTAGTAGTAGTAGTAGTAGTAGTAGTAGTAGTAGTAGTAGTAGTAGTAGTAGTAGTAGTAGTAGTAGTAGTAGTAGTAGTAGTAGTAGTAGTAGTAGTAGTAGTAGTAGTAGTAGTAGTAGTAGTAGTAGTAGTAGTAGTAGTAGTAGTAGTAGTAGTAGTAGTAGTAGTAGTAGTAGTAGTAGTAGTAGTAGTAGTAGTAGTAGTAGTAGTAGTAGTAGTAGTAGTAGTAGTAGTAGTAGTAGTAGTAGTAGTAGTAGTAGTAGTAGTAGTAGTAGTAGTAGTAGTAGTAGTAGTAGTAGTAGTAGTAGTAGTAGTAGTAGTAGTAGTAGTAGTAGTAGTAGTAGTAGTAGTAGTAGTAGTAGTAGTAGTAGTAGTAGTAGTAGTAGTAGTAGTAGTAGTAGTAGTAGTAGTAGTAGTAGTAGTAGTAGTAGTAGTAGTAGTAGTAGTAGTAGTAGTAGTAGTAGTAGTAGTAGTAGTAGTAGTAGTAGTAGTAGTAGTAGTAGTAGTAGTAGTAGTAGTAGTAGTAGTAGTAGTAGTAGTAGTAGTAGTAGTAGTAGTAGTAGTAGTAGTAGTAGTAGTAGTAGTAGTAGTAGTAGTAGTAGTAGTAGTAGTAGTAGTAGTAGTAGTAGTAGTAGTAGTAGTAGTAGTAGTAGTAGTAGTAGTAGTAGTAGTAGTAGTAGTAGTAGTAGTAGTAGTAGTAGTAGTAGTAGTAGTAGTAGTAGTAGTAGTAGTAGTAGTAGTAGTAGTAGTAGTAGTAGTAGTAGTAGTAGTAGTAGTAGTAGTAGTAGTAGTAGTAGTAGTAGTAGTAGTAGTAGTAGTAGTAGTAGTAGTAGTAGTAGTAGTAGTAGTAGTAGTAGTAGTAGTAGTAGTAGTAGTAGTAGTAGTAGTAGTAGTAGTAGTAGTAGTAGTAGTAGTAGTAGTAGTAGTAGTAGTAGTAGTAGTAGTAGTAGTAGTAGTAGTAGTAGTAGTAGTAGTAGTAGTAGTAGTAGTAGTAGTAGTAGTAGTAGTAGTAGTAGTAGTAGTAGTAGTAGTAGTAGTAGTAGTAGTAGTAGTAGTAGTAGTAGTAGTAGTAGTAGTAGTAGTAGTAGTAGTAGTAGTAGTAGTAGTAGTAGTAGTAGTAGTAGTAGTAGTAGTAGTAGTAGTAGTAGTAGTAGTAGTAGTAGTAGTAGTAGTAGTAGTAGTAGTAGTAGTAGTAGTAGTAGTAGTAGTAGTAGTAGTAGTAGTAGTAGTAGTAGTAGTAGTAGTAGTAGTAGTAGTAGTAGTAGTAGTAGTAGTAGTAGTAGTAGTAGTAGTAGTAGTAGTAGTAGTAGTAGTAGTAGTAGTAGTAGTAGTAGTAGTAGTAGTAGTAGTAGTAGTAGTAGTAGTAGTAGTAGTAGTAGTAGTAGTAGTAGTAGTAGTAGTAGTAGTAGTAGTAGTAGTAGTAGTAGTAGTAGTAGTAGTAGTAGTAGTAGTAGTAGTAGTAGTAGTAGTAGTAGTAGTAGTAGTAGTAGTAGTAGTAGTAGTAGTAGTAGTAGTAGTAGTAGTAGTAGTAGTAGTAGTAGTAGTAGTAGTAGTAGTAGTAGTAGTAGTAGTAGTAGTAGTAGTAGTAGTAGTAGTAGTAGTAGTAGTAGTAGTAGTAGTAGTAGTAGTAGTAGTAGTAGTAGTAGTAGTAGTAGTAGTAGTAGTAGTAGTAGTAGTAGTAGTAGTAGTAGTAGTAGTAGTAGTAGTAGTAGTAGTAGTAGTAGTAGTAGTAGTAGTAGTAGTAGTAGTAGTAGTAGTAGTAGTAGTAGTAGTAGTAGTAGTAGTAGTAGTAGTAGTAGTAGTAGTAGTAGTAGTAGTAGTAGTAGTAGTAGTAGTAGTAGTAGTAGTAGTAGTAGTAGTAGTAGTAGTAGTAGTAGTAGTAGTAGTAGTAGTAGTAGTAGTAGTAGTAGTAGTAGTAGTAGTAGTAGTAGTAGTAGTAGTAGTAGTAGTAGTAGTAGTAGTAGTAGTAGTAGTAGTAGTAGTAGTAGTAGTAGTAGTAGTAGTAGTAGTAGTAGTAGTAGTAGTAGTAGTAGTAGTAGTAGTAGTAGTAGTAGTAGTAGTAGTAGTAGTAGTAGTAGTAGTAGTAGTAGTAGTAGTAGTAGTAGTAGTAGTAGTAGTAGTAGTAGTAGTAGTAGTAGTAGTAGTAGTAGTAGTAGTAGTAGTAGTAGTAGTAGTAGTAGTAGTAGTAGTAGTAGTAGTAGTAGTAGTAGTAGTAGTAGTAGTAGTAGTAGTAGTAGTAGTAGTAGTAGTAGTAGTAGTAGTAGTAGTAGTAGTAGTAGTAGTAGTAGTAGTAGTAGTAGTAGTAGTAGTAGTAGTAGTAGTAGTAGTAGTAGTAGTAGTAGTAGTAGTAGTAGTAGTAGTAGTAGTAGTAGTAGTAGTAGTAGTAGTAGTAGTAGTAGTAGTAGCAATTTTGCTATTATATGTTGGTCATGATTTGATGGTTGACTTGCCCGTTTTCTTTGTGTACCTTATCTGGTTTTCTCTTGTCTGGGTTGTTGGATGAGTTGGGTAAACGGTGCTGCTTTGATTGTGTTTGCGGATGCGGGTTTACTCTTTGTTTTGGTATTCGATAGTTGACTTGATTCTTTTATTTTATTTTCTTATTGGATTTTCCGATTTATTTGATTTGATTTTCCTATCTACGATATACTTGATTGGATTTGTCACCATTGCTTTCTTTGCTTCCGTTTTTTGAATTCTTCATTCCGGCACCCAGTTTGTTATCAAATAAAGTCAACGTTCTCAGTAGTAGTAGTACTACGTAGTAGTAGTAGTAGTAGTAGTAGTAGTAGTAGTAGTAGTAGTAGTTTCTTTACACTGGAGTGCGGATGGAGATTTTGCTCCTCCGCAGTTTTTCTAATTGCTGTATCCACTATCCCAGTCAACCGATTATTAACTTTCTTCTAGGCTTCAGGAGTCGGCTCCAGTACTTTTCACCGCTGTGGAGTTGCCCAGTCCACTATTCCTCCCTCCAGCTGGTTTCCTTTTACCTGGCGAACCGGCCATTGCGTTGTAGTTTCGGCTCGCTTTCCGTGCCTTCGCCTTTGGCCTTGGATCAGCTGGCTTGCTGTGCTGCGCTTCGCGGCTGGGTGCTTTCCCGCGTGGTCTGTGACGACTGACGTGCAGGCTGCTCTTCACACCTCGAGTCTCTTCGCGCCTTCATCTGGCCGTGCTCGTGTATGCACAGTAACTGAAGTCCGCAGCTGTCTTTCTATGAGCCCAGCCCAGCACGGCGTCCTTCAGGGTCGCACGTCTGGTCGCACGTCTGGCCCGCGTGTTAGCCTGCTATGTCGTCTCAGTCGCGCAGGGGAAGTAACAGCAAGCGCTTGTGCTGTTCCTGCAGTAGAGCGTCGGGCACGTGCCGCTCTTGCTCCTGCAACGCAGCGGGACGATGCTGTGTCGACTGCTACCCCGGCAGGGACCAAAGATGCACCAATTTCGGTAACACTAATCTGAGCGTTACGATTGTCACTGGCGGTGCTGCTGGGGAGCGTTCGCTGCCTGATGCACCACCCGAATCAGTACCGGGGTGGGTGCCTCGCGGAGGGCGGAATAATTCGGTCTGCAGACCCCAGTCGTCGGCCACGGTACGTTCCCGTGCAGCATTGCACCCTGGAGCCGCAAATTCTGTGCAGCCTTCTCAATCTGTTGCTGCTGCTTCATCCATACAGCCACTGCGGGTGGATCTGCCTGATCTCTCGTGCTCGGAGGCGGCTTCAATTGACGCTGCTGACCCACTTTCCGCAGGTGCTTCTGCTGATTGTGCTGGGGAGTCACGAGAGTTACGTGTTGACCTCCCTCCGGTCCGTGGTTCTGGAAATAGTGGTACCACGGTCCAGCAACCAACCCATATTGCCTCGGCTGCGGCCGATCCTGCTTATGTTGACCCGCCCTCGGGTGATGGCGGTGGCTCCGATGCTGTCCCTGGAGGTGGGTTCTGGGCTCTGCGGAGTGGAGAGGCTGCACAGTTGCTGGATTCGGCCTACAGTGAGGCTGTGTCTTGGAAAAGGAATTTATTTATCGTCCCCTTCGGCGCTGAAGGTGAGGACTTTGTGAAGGAACTTTCCAGATTGATTGGCCTTTTCACAGATGGATCAGGGGCTCGGGCGTTTGCGTGGTCTGCCGTAGTCGTTGCGTGCCACCTTCTGCTGCAGAGGCCGTTCAACACCTCAGCCGCCGCTGACCACAGGAAGTTTCTACGAAAGAGGCTTTCTTTGTGGTCAGCTGGCAATTTATCGGCCCTGCTGCGGGAGTCTCGGTGCATCCAGGCGCATTTGCCGATGCCTCATTCTGGTGGCTCTGCGGGTGGTGGATTAGATGACGTCCAGTTCGCTAAGCTAGTCTATGGTGATCGACTTGGCACGGCTGCCCACTACGTAGAGGAGGGTGGTGGTGGTGGTGTCTTGTCTCTTTCATCTATTGTGGATGGACAAACTGTACTTGAGACGTTGAGGGCAAAGCATCCGGATCCTGTTCCCCCTGAGCCAAGCGTTCTGCTGCCTGACGGTCCGCCTCCACCGGATAACGTGCTTTATGAGGCCATAACATCAACAAAGGTACGAGCTACCATCATGGCGATGAAGGGCGCTGCTGGCCCTTCGGCACTGGATTCGGAGGCTTGGCGGCGGATGGCTTCCATGTACGGTGCGGCGTCGAAGGCACTCTGCACATCCCTTGCCCACATGGCCAGGTGTTTGTGCGTGGAGGAGATTGACCCATCTCATCTCCGAGCTTTCCTCGCCGGTCGACTAATACCGCTTGACAAGCAACCTGGCGTAAGACCGATAGCGATCGGTGAGGTTTTCCGGAGAGTGGTCGGGAAGGTGATCATGGCCGTGATCGAGCGTGACGTTGCGGCCGTCACTGTCCCACGGCAGCTGTGTGTCGGCGTCCCCTCCGCCTGTGAGGTTGCTGTCCAAGCCCTCACTGGCTTGTACGAGCGTGATGAGGACACTGCCATTCTCCTCGTTGACGCTTCAAATGCGTTTAATGCGTTGAACCGTGCAGCCGCAATCAACAACATACCAAAGGTTTGCCCTGCAGCTGGTCGAGTGTTTGTAAATACATACCAGGCCGACATACCACTCTACCTCGATGGCGGAGAGGTATTGTATTCGCGCGAGGGAACTTGCCAGGGGGACCCTCTGGCAATGGCGTTTTACGCATTGGCCACCGTTCCTCTTGCTGCACAGCTTGGTTCAGCATCGGAGTCAACAGCTCAAATCTGGTACGCAGATGATGATGCGGCTGCCGACAAGATACAACCACTGCGTCGGTATTGGTCTGCCATTGAGGAGGCCGGCCCTCAGTACGGGTACTACCCGAATGCCAAGAAAACTGTGCTGCTTGTCCGACCGCATCTTCTGGCTCAGGCACAGGAGGCTTTCGCTGACACGGGCGTCAGAATCCAGACTGATGGTGTGCGGTATCTGGGTGGAGCCATTGGCAGCCAACAGTTTCAGAATGACTTTGTATTGGATCGGGTTGCGGGCATGTGTCGATTGGTGAAGCGCCTTGCTGGCTTGGCTGTGACGCAACCGCAGGCGGCTTATCGCCTTTTTGTTGCGTCTCTGCAATCCCGGTGGACCTTCTTACAGCGTGTGGTCCCTGCCGACCCAGCCGTGTACTCACCTCTGGACCGGGCCATCAATGACGATCTGCTGCCGGCGCTGACTGGCCACACGTTCAGGCCTGACGGTGCGCTTCGTCAGCTACTATCTCTGCCCCTACGAAACGGCGGTCTCGCTATGCGAATCGGGAGTGTGCGTGCCGAGGCTGAGCGTCTGCTCTGTTGCGATGCGATAGACCCTATGGTGACGTGTGTGGTGGTCGGTCTGGGCGAGCGTCGAGTCGCCGACGTAATTTCAACCAGCAAGGCATTGGCAGTTCAGGCTCGTGGCCGACGCCGGTCTCAGCAGCTGGACATCTTGACTGGGATCAAGCCTGATCTGTCGGATCAGCAGCGCCTCCTTGTGGATGTGGCAGGTGAGGGTGGTGTATCCACTTGGCTTGGCACTCCCCCTTCCATGCACATACCTGGGTCAGTATTTAATAAATCTGACTTCAGGGATGCACTCTGTCTGCGGTATGATTTATCGCTGGATGGGGTTGCATTGTCCTGTGTGTGTGGAGGGGAGATGTCAAGCCATCACGCACTCACTTGCCCCAGTGGAGGCTACCCAACGCAGCGCCACAACGAGTTCAGGGATCTCCTTGCGGACGCCCTCGGCAGCGTCGTGTGTGATGTGGCGATCGAGCCACCGCTGATGCCACTCCAGGGCGAGGCAGTCTCTGGCAGCTCAGCTGATGGCGCTCGTGTGGACATACGGGCTCGTGGCTTCTGGACCAGGCAGCAAAACGCCTTTTTTGATGTGCGGGTGACTCACCCAAGGCCGTCTTTGCTGTCTGGACCGGAAGTGGCGGGTCAGTTGTCCCAGCATGAGCGCCAGAAGAAGCGACAGTATGCTGACCGGATTAACCAGGTGGATCGTGGGTCATTTACCCCTCTGGTTTTCGCAACGAATGGTCAGAGTGCACCGGAGTGCAGCAGATTCCTGAAGACTTTGGCAGCCCGTATAGCAGATAAGAATCGGGATCTTCAGTACGCCCTTGTCCTTGGTCACTTGCGATCGAGGATAAGTACCTCCCTAATCCGGTGGCAGATTACGTGTTTTCGGGGGTCAAGATCGTCGTATGCCCGTGGTGTCTCCGGTACAGGCCGTCATGGTTTCGTAACCGAGTGCCGTGCACTGGCGCACATGTCACGTGTGCAGTAACTGGACTTGTCTATCGAATAGTATTCTTTTCTTTTTTTGTTCACTGTGTTGTTATTCTATTTTCGCTGTTGCTTTGTAATATTTGGATTCGTTCCACTTGTTGGTTGGAGTTTTACTTGGATCCGTTGAAATTTGTGCAATTACACGACCTCTTGGATCCGTTGAAATTTGTGCAATTACACGACCTCATTGAGCCTATGCTAGGGATTGAGTTCATTTTTGCCTCCTGGGTGCAATGCTTGAGTTCTCTTGGTCAGGTTTCTTTTAATCTTCCTTTTTCTCTTCTTCTTTCAAATCCAGCATTATGTTTCCGGTGTTCTTTTCTTTCTTTGCATCATCATTTTAAGTAGTAGTAGTAGTAGTAGTAGTAGTAGTAGTAGTAGTAGTAGTAGTAGTAGTAGTAGTAGTAGTAGTAGTAGTAGTAGTAGTAGTAGTAGTAGTAGTAGTAGTAGTAGTAGTAGTAGTAGTAGT